TAGATCTCAGAGCCTGGGTGCTCAAGATGACTTGTGCACCTGTGTGCTCCTGTGTGCCCACCTGTGTGTGCACCTCTGTGTGTACCTGTGTGCACCTTTGTGCTCCTGTGTGTGCACGTGTGTGCTCCTGTGTATGCATGTGCGTTCCTGTGTGTGCACCTTCGGGCTCCTGTGTGTGCACGTGTGCATGTGTGACACCTGCGGGGGCAGGGCGGCAAGGCAGTAAAGGGAGAGAGATGCTCATTGGGCTGGGCCGTTGCAGTCTGAAGACCTGGGCTCAGATCCCAGCTCCACTACTTCCTAACCCAGGACCCCATCTGTCCTTACGTGTGGCCGGCGGGAGAGCTGCACTTGGGGTGCAGGAGGGGGAGGTGGGTTCATCCTCTGTGGGGTGTTTCATCGCCGCCGAAATGGAAGTCAGAACTCAAACCACAGGCGCCCTTGCTGAGCATGGGGTTCCTGCCCCATGGGGTACCTGCCCCACAGGGTTCCTGCTTCACAGGGAACCTGCCCCATGGGGAACCTGCCCCACAGGGTTCCTGCTTCACAGGGAACCTGCCCCATGGGGTACCTGCCCCACAGGGTTCCTGCTACAGGGAACCTGTCCCATGGGGAACCTGCCCCACAGGGTTCCTGCCTCATGGGGAACCTGCCCCACAGGGTTCCTGCTTCACAGGGAATCTGCCCCATGGGGTTCCTGCCCCACAGAGTGCCTGCCCCACAGGGTTCCTGCCTCATGACCACCTGCCCGCTGGGGTTGCTCCATAATGACTGTCCGAGGGCCACAGCCAGGGGACGGGGGGCTGCAGGATGCTGGATCCCACTCTGCCCCCACCCTGACCATCCTCAGGAAGCTGGCCCTCGCCAGGGGCGTGATCAGGGCCAGGCCTCCAGCCACCCCTGTCGCTGTTAGGGAACGAAAGGTGTGTGGCCAGCACAGTGGCCACGGGCCTGCCAGAGGGCCCAGGCGCTCAGTGCAAAGCAGAAGTCAAGCCCGGGCGTAAGGGGAGCAGCCAGCTAGGTCCTGAGTCTGCCCAGGGTCTTTGATCTCACCCCGAGTTACACGCTGGGGGCCCCGCCCCTGCCAGGCCCACCTTAGGGAGCCGGGAGTCTGCGAGCAGGCAGACCTGCTGACAGGCAGTCACCCGCATTGACCAGAAAACGTCCTGGTCCCTTCTCCATCAGAGCAGCTCATCAAAGCCATGCTGCTTCCACTGACCACGCGTTGGTCCTCCGCCCAGATGGCCGAAGGGAAGGGCCTGGACTATTTTTAAAGCGTCTGTAATTGCCCAGAACCTGGGCGCAGCGTTCAGTGGTTCCCGGCATCTGATGGCCACGTGACCTCGGCGCTGGACCTCAGCGCTTCTCTTGGTGAAGGTTAAATCCGAGAGTCCTCAGCAGCGTTTTTCCCAGACCACAGGAGAGAATGAGCCAAATTAACGGAGACTGACGTTATTTGGGCTTAGAGATTTAGCCAACTATTTAAAACATGTTTTTATTGATTTCAAAAAGAGAGGAAGGGAGGAGATAGAAACATCGATGAGAGAAACATCAACATCGATTAGCTGTCTCCTGCACACCCCCTGCTGGGAATCAAATCCGCAACCGGAGCACGTGCCCTGCCCGGGAATCCAATCCTGACCTCCTGGTTCACAGGTCGATGCTCAACCACTGAGCTGCACAGGCCGGGCTTAGCCAAGTGTTTTATCGTTGGGTCAAGTTACCAGGGGAGAAAGTCTGTAGGAAATGGCTTTTGCGTCTTGAAAGTTCCGAGCGGCAGCGTGTCACCAGCCGTGGTCCGGAGGACGTTGTGATTTGTCGAGAGCCCCACCCCCACGGGGCAGCGGATTTAAGCAGCTTTTAGCCCGGAGACGCCCTGTCCCTTCTCATTTCTTCTCCGAGGCCTGGCAGCGGATGGCAGAGCTAATACCGTCATTTTAACTGGGAAACGCCGTGAGCGGGGTAACCGTGGCATCACGTGGCGTCCTACTTTTGCTAAATTATTCCTGTGGGCAGGGGGCGGGGGGCGGAGAGCGGCTGGGGAGCTGTGCGCCCGGGACGCTGCCCTGGCGTGGGAGTAAACGCAGCCCGTCTGGTGGGCGAGAGGCTGCGCTGTCACAGCCACAGGCACAGGTGGGCGCGGCCCGTGTTCTGCGTCCTCCCCTGAAGACGGAGAACGGTCTGGGTCCCCCTCCAGCACCTGACTTACCTAGACCAGGTGCCGGGCTCTGTGAACACCTGGGCATCGCAGACGGGGTTCTGAGGTGCCCAAGTATGTGCCCGTGTCCGGAAAGGGCTTTCTCAAAGGGTCTGTGCCCCCAAAACTGGTAAGAACCGCTGATCGGAGCCTTAGGTTCTTTTTGTTTCGTTACCAGACGGCTTTCGAACCAGGGTCTAACTTCTCGCCACACGCGCTTTCCAGCTCGCGCGGGGAACGTGACCGCAACTCGGAGCACACCTGGCCGGGCCGAGTGCCGGGGGGCGGGCGAGCCTCTGTGCAGCAGCCACAGGGCAGGTTGCTCTGGGTTGGCACATACGAGCGATGCTGAGGCACCGTTGGGTTACGTCACGATTCACAGGAGAAAACAAGGGCGGCTTCCATCCCCTTTGAGCACCTGTAATGTGAAGCCCATTTGATTTGTCCGTGTGAGGAAAAGGGCCGCCGTCCGCGCTCCGTGCTGTCTGTCGTGAAACAGCACGTGCAGAGTCAGCGTCCTGTGCGCTGTGCCCAGCACATGTGCCAGTTCGGGGCCTCCTCCTGGCCGCCCCGTGGGAGGCGGCGTGGCGAGCCCAGCCTGTGTCCTGTGCGCTGTGCCCGGCACATGTGCCAGCTCGGGGCCTCCTGGCCGCCCCGTGGGGGGCAGCGTGGCGAGCCCAGCCTGTGTCCTGTGCGCTGTGCCCGGCACATGTGCCAGCTCGGGGCCTCCTGGCCGCCCCGTGGGGGGCAGCGTGGCGAGCCCAGCCTGTGTCCTGTGCGCTGTGCCCGGCACATGTGCCAGCTCGGGGCCTCCTGGCCGCCCCGTGGGGGGCAGCGTGGCGAGCCCAGCCTGCAGATGCGCAGGCAGAGGCGTCGGGCCCAGGCCGCTCGGCCATGAAGGTGGGGCCAGGATTTGAGCTCCGGCTGCGGAGCCTCTGCCCGACGTGCCCGCCTCCCCACAGAGAAACCAGCGCCAGTGCGTCCTCACGCAGGCACGTCCCAGCTCCGTGGGAGCAGCCTCGGCAGCAGAGCCGGTTTAGTGGGGAACTTGACAAGAAAGCTGGGTATTTCGGAGTGCCTTACGTTTGGTGGCACCTTAGACTGTTTGCAAACTGCTTACAAGTTCATGGGATCCACACCTCACCACTGACTGCCTGCGAAGGGGGTGGGGCCCAGGCCTTGTAACCAGGGAAACCGAGGCTGCGGAGGGTCAGGTGGACCCTGTCCGAGGTGGGCAGGGCAGGCTCAGGCCTGGAGAGAAGCTGAGGACACAGCACCCACTGAAGTTAGAAGTGGGGTAGCCCTCGGGGAAGGAGGCTGGGGCTCGCAGCCGGCGCCTCCGGCATTTCTCCGACTTCCGCTGCCTGGAGGGGGTCGCACCCGGGCTGGTCCCAGGACCAGGCTCCTGGCATCGGGATCCCACCAGGCAGTGAAGTCAACACCGGAGGGTCAGGGCCCAGCTGTGGGATCACCACCCTGCCGCTTATCAACTCACCATCTGGGCAGCTCACATCCTGTGTCCCCAGTAAATTGGGGGGGCGTATTCTGGAGCCGGCTGCCTAGGGGGTCACACAGAGGCTGGGGCTCAGCCCAGCAGGAACCGGCACCCACCGTGGAGCCCCCACTCCTGCTGCTGAGGGACGTGGCCCAGGACGCGGGCGTGACACTAACGAAGGGGAAGGAGGGCGTTCCGGGGAGGACCCTCGGCCGGTACCGCAGACCGAGTCCATCTCGTTTCAGCCGGGAAACGAGTCACGAGTCACGACGGTTCCATTTTCCCTCTGAGGTGGCCCTGCCTGGTCACCAGCAGGGCCTGTCCCAGCCCCGTGCTGAGCCCAGTGTGCACGTGGGGCGGTGACAGTGGCCCTTTGCCCCGGGGCAGCCAGCAGCTGGCCTCTCTCTGAAGGTCCCCCTTGGCTTCAGAGCCTCCAACAGCGTTGGCAGGGGGGGAGGGTGGCGGGGGGGGAGTCAGGGAGCCGGCTTTTGGAACAGGAGCTGGGGGAGCTGCACTGGATTAAAGAGGACAGACAAGAGGATAAAGCTGGGGCTGGGCCCTAACCGGTTTGGCTCAGTGGATAGAGCATCGGCCTGGGGACTGAAAGGTCCCAGGTTCAATTCCGGTCAAGGGCATGTACCTTGGTTGCAGGCACATCCCCAGTAGGAGGTGTGCAGGAGGCAGCTGATCGATGTTTCTCTCTCATCAATGTTTCTAACTCTCTATCCCTCTCACTTCCTCTCTGAATAAAATATATTTAAAAATAAAAAAAGCTGGGGCTGGGTGGGACACTGCTCTCAGAGGGAGAGACAGCGCCACGGCCTGCGAGCCGAGTGTTTATTTTATAGCCACATTCTACTCGGCAAAGCAAGGGCGGGTCAAGATGTTTACAGTATTCTCTCGGGTTTCGAATCTACTCAATTACCTGCACCTGAACTCTATCGAGCTTTGTTTTGGCAGCACTGGCTGCACCTCCCGCAGCCCATATCACCCAGCCACCTGGGACCACAGGTTCGGACCATAAGGTCAAGCTCACAGCCATAGCCTTTGGCTGTAATGGTGCTGGGAGGGCTTTGCCCTCCAAGCTGGGACTTGCACGTGGCTTTGCCACGAGAGGACCGTGCCCTCTCATTAGTCCGAGGCTTGAACCTGTCCAAATGCTGTAGCTGCTCTCCACAGAAAGGTGGGGGCTGGGGGAGCTGCAGTGGGAACGGTGGGGGCTGGGGGAGCCCCTGGGAATGGTGGAGCCGAGCCTGGCCGGCGGGTCCTGCCGGATCTGCTGAGAACTGACAAGCGTTTGTTTTTCAGGAACCTGGGCAAGTCGGGCCTGCGGGTCTCCTGCCTGGGGCTGGGTGAGTGCGGGGCCCCTTGGTCCAGAGCCACCAGGGAAGCAGGGGCTGTGGGAGGGCTGAAGGGGACCACCCCCAGGGGTGGGAGCTGCCCCCAGAGCCAGGATGGGTGTGTGCCTGTTACCATGGTAACAGGGGTGCCTAGGAGAGGACAGGGGATGGAGAGACAGCCTCTTCCTTTCCCAAGCTGTGAGCTCCGTTCCCAGGTCACGATGTCCCTCTACCTCCATGGTGCACACACTATGCGCCCCCAACACACATGCACACACCCCGGCCAGCAGGAGTGAGGACCTGCTCCCTGGCCTGCCCCCTGCACCCCGTGCCTGGAACAGCAGCCACTTCAGCTTGAGCCCCAGGAGCGTGTCAGAGCCCCACAGCCGCTGTCTGCTCCGGGCACTTATCATCCTATCCTCTCAGGTGTCCACACACACCAAGGACACACTCACCACAGAGCAGGGTGGCCCGGCGGCCTGTGTCCGCCCCCTGGGCCCCGCAGCCTGAGGCCCCAGCACCCGGGAGGGAGAACCGACTTCCCCGGAGGCTCTCTGACCCGACCCTGTGTGTCTCCTTCCAGGAACATGGGTGACCTTCGGAGGCCAGATCACCGACGAGGTGAGACGGGCCCCTCGTCCTGCCAGGCCCCAGCGGGGGCAGCCCCCGAGGCAGGCGGTGACGCCTGCTA